TAGTGCCCAAAGCACTTTACTGGGTCATTAGGACCCACACAGACCCCCTACTGGTCCCACTAATACCTCTTCCAGCAGCACCCTTAGCTTTCCCTGGAGGTCTCCCATGGTACTGGTCAGGTTCACACCTGTTGAGCTTCAGTGAGTAGCCAAATGTGAGTTGCAGAGAGAAATAAAAGGATTCAAAACCGGTCTCTCACCACAAGCAGGCCTGCTTAATTCTGCTAGCATCGATATTCCTTGTTTTCTAAGACCACCAACCATATTATCCAGGTTGTAAAAGCATGGTGCTTGCTCTGTTTGCAGTCGCTACTGTACTCCATCAATCAGACCATCTGCCAGCGCCTGGACAACATAGAAGCTAAGCTGCAAGCCCTGGAGGCCACTTCCAAGTCCCTGGAAGAGAAGCTGGACATGGTCATGAACAAGAACCAGGGGCCAATCCAGGTGCCCATGGTGGCTGGATCTCCATTAGGAGCCACACAAACCTGGAACAAAGTGCGCTGGTAAGCCTGGGATAATTAGGTGTTGGGTCATCGTCCCACTGGCCAGAGAGGAACATAGTGTATAGTGTATATACATCTGAAAAGATACACTACAGACCAGCAAATGAGGATATTTGTTCTTAAGCACCGGAGTAGGTAATAAAGCCTTCCTTGACTAGGTCCTGGCTGGGGACAGTCAGTCACATATTACTGACTTTTAAGGTTCAGAAGACAACTGAAATAAAACAAATTGGCCACATTTTCAAATGTACAGGATTATATGTATTGCATTAGGCAGATTTTTATTGAAAGTAAGTGGTAAAATTCCTTCATTGAATTAATTCGGGCTAATACAGTACTTTGACAATGTAGCCTATTTCTTCATTTTGAAATCTCTCCTCCACTTTAAAGGTAGTGATTAATTACTAATAGAGCTCTTTTTGAAATGTGCTATCCTGGAAACTATGTCTTTGTTCTGTCTTTGCAGTAAACTGATGAAAAGAAGTTTGAAAGATGTGGATGTATGATTATTATGTCACCCACAAAATATGGACATGTTTAATCCAGACTACCCGTCTCTTCCTTAAATTATGGACTTGATTAGCTATTTTGTCTAAAAACAGCATATTTTATACTTATTACTGAATTGTGGTTCATTTATTACTTCAAGATGCAGAATATGTTGCAGATTTGAATGTTCTTTAGAGCTGTTCTGTACCCATCTGCAGGTAGCAGAAACTCCTGGCCATGACCCAGCTAATTGGCTAATGGCAGTGTTATTTTCACTGCCCAGTGAAATTCATAGGCTTCTCTAGGATAAGACCCCGTTCTGCTTTCAGATTATCTCTAATTAAAACCTGAGGAGTTTGCTGTTTTTGGGTTTGATGAAGGCTCTTAGGATTTTAAAAGCCAGGTGGGACTGGAACTTAGCCAGTCTTTTCTGGAATTTAGGACAGGGATTTAAGAAAAAGAAGCTAAACACAATCCTACCCTCAGTAATACCTCCATTTACTAGAGAAGTAGCCAAACCACCTGGTGATGCTCAGATAGCTTTTCTCATTTAAATCCTAGATCTGGACCTTCCTGGCAAGACTGATGTTACTTTTTTTTCTGCATGCACATTTAGTTCTCTCTTTAGTTTCTCAAAACAAAAAAGCAAGGAAACCCAGAGCCCGGAAAGACTTTTTAAAGTAACATTGCTCCATTTTACCTTCAATTCAGGCACTCGAGCCCCAGTGAAAATCTATGGCAAAATGTTCAATGTGAGCAGGAATCGCGAAGCCCAGAACATTTCCATACGGCCATGGAAGGTCTGACCCAAGTGGGGTAGATTTCTACTGATAATTTATTATGGTCTCATGATGTAATGGTGCAGAGGTACTAAGAAGGAAAACTAAATGTTCCATTTCTTCTGGGTGTAAATTAGCCTATATTAGACAATAAGACACACTTCCTGTTGTCCCTGAATAAAATCACAGCTAGGAAAGTGCAAAACCACTTCTGTGCGCTCTTGCTTTATGCTGAAAGAGTAATAGTACCAACAATACCATCTAGATTTGTAGATCTGCTGTTCTGTTGGACAATGAAACTGATGGGCTACGTCAGGCTCAACAGAGAAACAAAGACACAAGTTAAAATAAAGAGAATGAGAGTGCGGTTACAATTTAGAACAGGAAGAAGTTCTTTAGGAGTCAGGGGTTGTCTGAAACAAACTGCCCTGTCATTTTGAAACTGACTACTTGGGAATCTTAAAAAAAAAAATGGGTCTCTGATCGATTAGCTGTAAGTAACCAAGTGGGCAAGATAGGCTAAATGACATCCTGCCTTTCTGATGCACGTATATGTACAGTATATAGCTTCTAAGATTAGTACACTGAAAACAGAAGAAAATAAGAGATGTTAGATGAATTAGCTGTTTACTAATTAAGTGAGATGGATTAAATGGCATGTTTTGATCGCAGCCTTTCTTCTGTTCTTAGATATGCAGTATCATTTAGCGTTTCAGTTTGGCTATTCCTTTGCGAAGAATGGTTGTTCTTCTGAATACATTTCAATTGTCTGCTATATGGAAGCCAAAGCAGGAAATCACATGCATTGCTTTGTCACTTCAGCCATGTACCTTTCAACAAGCAAGCAGGCTGAAAACATCCACCTAAAAAGCTAGAACTTAGCCGATGACCATTTTACCTTGAAATTAAACTTTAACTTTAAATTTGGAATCACATTAACAAATGACTTTTTTGGAAAATCACGTCCATGGGATATTATACAATATTGAGGTGTATATTTTGAATATTGAATATTTTCACTTATGCATACTTACACTTGTGGTGTGTTCTGAAGGAAAGCTATTTGCAATTAAATATCTGGATATTCAAAGTCCAAAAAACTGCTATGTGGAAGGGAGTTTACAGACACATTCAGAGAAATGCTGGAGGCAGTGAAGTGTAAAATTGCAGCTCGATTCCTGACAGACAGGTCAATGAGAATGTGAGGACAGATAGCTCTGAAATGGAGAAGCACTCTTTTTAAACACAGCCTTTCACATGCTTGTGTACCCTAGTAATGAAAAATGAGACAACTAAGATCTTATTTGTGATTAATTGTTCTTTTCTCTTTAAAATTGTCTTTGTGCAGCTGGCTGGTGGTTAAGTGTTTATTTTAAACCTCAGGTATGGGCTGGGTTCAAGAACTACAGACGTTTATATAATCATGAGACCCTTGTTTCTGTTAGGTCTGCACCTTATTCATCGCTGGAAACAGTTACTCAAGACACGTCGGCAATTTGCAGGCCTATATCTTAATTCGTTCCAAAGCTATCACTCATAGATAATCAACTCCACCTAAATGATGAATACTTTCATAGGCACCTCAGCATGAGCAAGTGGAAAACCAGCCAATAACTGACACACCATATTGTAAGGTCTGAATTGTTCTTCAACTTTTTTGTTATGTATAAGATTGCCAAGTTAATGAGTGGCTACAAATCAAGTCTTACTCAGAGTTATGTGTTCTTTTCTTGAAAACCAATAAAAGCTAATAGTTTTCCCATTGCTTTCATTGACTCAGAAAACTGTGATTTTAACAGGCTGTTTTGTTGTGTTGGCTGTGTTTATTTACTAGGGGAATCCCTGTGATCAGGCTATTGTAGTAGTTCCCTTGCAGACGTTTTGTGGAATGTTTTTTTTTCCACTTTAACAAGTAAGTTAATGGTGCTGTTGGAACAAACCAGCTGAGAGCTATCACTACACCATCCTCTCTGCAGGTGTGCTTTTGTCTTCTGTGGTCAAACAAGCATTTTTTGGTATATTTAATTAAATTTAAAAATTACACGGCTGTGTTTTAGAACATTTTGTTTTACGATGTCACCCACTTTCTACTAGACATTGTTTTAAAAATGAGATAAGCCCATCCTGGGTTAATTAAGCACATTTTGTTTTATTCAGTAACTTCATCATCTGTCCAGCTGGAGGTATGAGTCAGAAATTAAACCATGTGAAATTAACTTTTACAAAAATGGGATTACTTGTATTATCCAGTATTAATTTTTCTTTGAATTAGACAAAAGGATTTAAATTTCCTAATTATGTTTTTTCTTTAGACATTTGAATCCCCCTACCCCCTTTGTAATTCCATCTGCAAGCACATTTTGGGGAAAGGTCAAAGTTCCAAAGAGCAGTCCTTTATTTTGTTTTCCTCATGAATCATCTGTATGCCAGTCTGTGTGGTACATTAGAACTTTAAAAAGGCACCGAACTATGGGGGTCCTGTGGCCCTTTCCACTCAAATAGTTGGAAGCAGCCAATTCATCTTAAGGCTTTGTCAGTCTGCTTCTTGAAAGGTTACGCTAACCCATCTTTCAGAACATGGCTAGGCAGATTGTTCCAAACATTCGCAACTCTTTGTGTAAAGAAGCACCTTGAATATTCTGTCCCAAATTGCAACTACCATCTGTGACCTCTGGTCCTGGCCTCCTTGCTGAGTTTAAAATAGATTGGATCAATGTTGTCCTTTCCTTTCAGGGTCTTGTATGGAGGTTTAATGAAGCATAACACCCCTGCTCTGCTGTGTAGTTCAGGCATTCAGACCTGGTGTGAGAACCAATGGCTGTGCCTTCCTGTATATTCTTCGAGTTTGTTTTATCCCAGTTTACTTAAGAATCTTCTGTTTAATTCCTTCTTGGGTGTCATTTTCTGTAAGACCTCAACCTCTTTTCTATCCTTTGCAATACGTGGTGATATCCAATCCAGAATTAGGGCTGTTTTCCCATGATGGTTACTCTACAGGGAACTGTAGTCCTCCTGACAGCTCTAACAATAATAAACCACAGCAAACACATTTCACCCTTGACCGTGCTGAAGCCAGACGTTGTCCAGATCTGTGCAAGTGGTGTGTGTGGTGTAGGGATATCAGTCTAAACAAGTGCAACTGTCATTTGTCCTTTCCCTGAAGTGTATTAAACCCACTTGCAGAATTTGTTAATTATTGTCTGCAATAGTTTTATTTCCCTTCTGTAAAGTTAAAAAAAAGTTATCAGTCTTAGTACTTATTCAAAACTTAATTCAAATGCTACATTTCCCCTCCCCACTTTGTCCCCATTGTTCCCAGTCCACATGAAAAGGAAAGAAAATCAGAAGTTGGCAGAAAAATAAACTTGATTATAGATTTATAAAGCAACCATAAATGAAATTCATTTTTTTAAACCAACAACACGTTAGAGTGGTGATGGATATTCCAAAACAATACATTTATATACTGTAATAATAGTAATGTTAATGATAAATAATCATCCATTTTATGCCCAAGTAGGAATAAAAAGGTGTTCTATTTCCTTAAATTGACAGTATCCATTATCTGAGCTATTTCTAAGAGTATTTTCATAGAAACATGTTGGGACAACATATTTAGCCACTGGGGAGTGGATACCTCAACTTGTTGGGGCTATATGTAAGAATTTTTGTTTCGTTAAAGCAATCTTCAAATCACTAGCAATGACATTTTTGTATGTTTGATGCCCTCTGCTGCTCACATTCGAGTGCTTTAAGGCTTGCAATGTAAAGAGAGGTAGACGGCTCAACCATACATGTTGTGGGGGACTCGTGCACATTGTCTTCGGTTCTCCTGTGAGGGTACAGTGAGCCAAAGGTATTGATTGCTAGCCCTACCAAATTAGAAACCTAAAAAATGAAAAGTGATTTGGTTATGCCAAATATATAACAATATGCCAAGTTATATAAATTGCTGAAATTTGTTTTGCTGATATGGGGATGGACTCCATACAGTATAATGTATATCCCAGTATTTTTTACTTATCCCAGGTGTTAGAAGAGTTTGCATTCAAATGTCCAGGCAAAGTGCTAGAACCTAGTGAATCTGCTGCACAGGAACTGCAGAAAGTTTTTGCTCCAGTGTAAATGTGCACCAATTTTCTTGGGTTTCAAACTAAATGTTTTAAGATGTTTTTTTTTTATTGTTTAAAGAATTTAAAACTGTTTTTCTGTGCACAAATCATCTCTTAGAGAGTTGTTTTGTTTCAATATTTCTTTTGGGAAATGAGCTTCTGGAGCAGAACAATCTGGGATATTACCCTGTTCTTGATAGCTGAATATTTCTGGCTTTCTCTCTGGTTCCCTGGCTGCAGTGTGGTCCCCCAGACCAACGTCATCGTCAGCAGTGACCGGTCGAAGGTGGCAGGACAGGATGAATCTGTTGCTCGAGGGACAGAGTCATTGGAAAACCTACTCAGCAAGTCAGTGCCTGCAGCAATTCACAAGACCTGTAACTCAGAAAGCCACTGCCATACAGGCTGCCCCAGATTCTGCTGAACCTGGATGTTCCTGTATACCACACTGACAGAAACAAAAATATGCAAAAAGCAGGGCAGTTGTTAAATATATAGGTCACATTGTCTTATATCATTATATATATCTGATAATATTCCATTTTAAATTAATTATATAGATTGCTGAAAGTTGTTGTGCTGATATGGGGATATACTCTATACAATATAATGTATAGAGTATATCCCCACATTATAGAGTAATGTATTTTTTACTTGTATCTAATTAATTACTGTATTCAATTTAGTTTTATTTTAGATTTCAGAATTCTGTAATATAAAGAGTGCAATACGCAATATAGTATTCTCTCATTTTTTTAAAGGAAGTTTTACATGCTACCAGTTGCTGAAATTAAAATTTACAGATATAGAGAAGAATATTTATGAATCTCCCCATTTAATTTACCTGTAATAATATATCAGCACCATTGCCCGAGCACATTTAATACAAATGATAGGAGGGGTAGGAGACAAACATTGGTAGAGAAGTCTGCAATTTGATAGTTCCATTACCTTTGGAAACTCTCAGTTAAAATACAGTAGAGATCTGAAATTCGCCAGCCTTTGCTCGGTCAGGGTTCCTGATCTCCCTCTCTCCTTGGCAGCACCGTCAGCGGACGCAGACAGAACACTATTCTTGTGAAGGTCCCTGCGCCAGAGGACAGTCACAACGAGGATGGCGAGAGCGGCTCCGAGGCCAGCGACTCGGTGTCCAACAGCGGTCAGTCCGGCAGCCAGGCAGCTGGTAACAACGTCACCCTCATCACCCTCAACTCTGAAGGTAAGGGCCATCTCACCCTGGTCCTGCTGCAGGCCGCTGACACACGGGTTCTGCTGGCCCACCTGCATGGAGAAGAACGTACAGTAGTGATGCACACCTCCTTAGCCAGATCGTTTTTAAATGTTTCTAAATATTTGGCCAGTTTAACTAGAGCACTGGGTCAAGGCATACTTGAGTTCCTGTTTCATAACCTGGTCTAGTGTACACTTCCCACTCCAGCTTATTGAAAGTGATACATGTGGTTTTTTGATTGTGTTGCTCATGTAGAATGCTGAGTTTTTTGTGTTTACATGAATTACAAAAAAATGTAAGAAATCTTTTAGGGTCTGCTGATCTCTGTACTTTTTGATGCTTCAGAATACCTACCAGGTTCCAAGTTTATTTCTGTTTGTGGGCCTTAAGTGATTTAAAGGAGAAGCTGGTATAATTAAAGAGTCGAATGTTCAAAAGCAGGGGGGATTAGTTTACTGTTTAATTGTGTGGGCCAGCTTCAACAAGGATTTTGCTGAACTGATTGATATACGCAAGTTGATCACAATTGTTGTGAACATACTTTTGTGCTGGAAATGGGCTTTTCAGTATATTTTTCATATTTACAGTTGTCTTTTCCTTTGCACACAGTTATTGAATGTTATATGTGAAGCATCTGAGTTGTGTTGTTTCTGTATTTACTGTCTTATACTGCTACAGTAGGATTTAGTTGACGAGAATACACATTCCCTGTTAGTGGATTATATCAGTATCATAAAAAAACAATTGTTACCTCTTCTTTTGATTGTTTAAAGAGGCTACAACATCTGACAAGGGCAGTGGGTTACTTGGTGATGTTGATTGCTGGCCAGCATATGCTTCATATGCACTGCGGCACTTGAGTTGGCACGTCTGTATCTTCTTGTGTTTTTTGTTAACTATATTAAATGGGGTAGAAACAGAGTGCTGCTTATTTTGGGTGAGTGCAAGACTTGCAGTATGTTCCAGTTGTACTCTTCAAAGTGCATTAAAACTGACATATTGACCTGCTGCATTTGATAAATTTAGAATGGTGCCAGCAGCTTAACACTAATGTGCTTGTTGCAGCTGTCAATCAGAAACTTACTTGAAGCATAATCTCAAGTAAAGCTCTTCTAGCAAAAAGCTTGTTCTTTATTTCCTTTATCAAGAAGACATTTTTAATAAATGTAAACAAAATAATAATTAAAATTCAAATGCCTGTGAATAAGACATCATATGAAGATGTATATGCTCTCTGCCGAAGAACAAATTTTAAAGCTCTGAAAAATCCAGTTGTGAGTGTATAGTCCCCATCTAAACAAAATCCAGTTTCCAGAGTTTTGAAGCACTGCCCCAGGAGCACACTAGCATCATCAAGCTTTCCCTCCCTAATCATCAAGCTAGAAGTCTTTGATCAACGAATAAATTATCTTTAGCAAGCCATTTAGCCTCTGGAGAAGCTATTAACTTGAAACAGCACATTATACATCACCTTTTTTATTTGCATCAGTCAAAATGAATTATGCATAATTCTTTAGTTTGCACATGGATCCAGCTTACAGATGTTAAAATATTTTATGAGTAGTGTGCAACAGTGTATGCCCTCTAAACTCACAGCTTCAACTGAGGCAGAACTGGCACGGTGAGCTTCATCTCAGTTAATATATTTGGCTGCGCTAAGAAACGAGCATAATGAACCCGTAAAACTCGACCTTCAGTGGCGTTACATGCACTGAAGGTGCCTGTTCACAGTGCTCAGTCTCTCTGAAGTGTATTCAAAAGTGTGTATCTCTGGGTGTCCCCTCCATTTTGAGATACTGTGTAGACCAACTGTGAAATCAGAGGCAGAACAGGTCTTGTGTAGCTGGAGGACCAGATACCAGATGATCCCTCTGTAGGCCACTGATCACACCACATGTTGTGCAGATCTCCTTTCCTTCTCACAACTTACTCAATGCACCCAGTGTCGTCAGTTTGCTGTCTTTGCCAGATTGTTTTGTCTGCATGGTTGTGAAGGCTTGTGGTGACTTATGTGGACTTAAAATGAAGGTGTTCATGTGCTTTCGCTGGTCTGTCACAGTGCAGCAGTCAACATGATAACCTGTTAACTGTTGCTGGTTCATGCAGGAAACGGGATGAATCACTTTTTTTGTGGAGCAGGGGCACTGAGCTGTTGTTCGTCTTCTCTGTTATGTTAAATGGAAATTGACTTTTTTGTGGTATTTTTTTTTTGTTTGGTTTTGAATTTTATATTCCTTTTTCTTGCTGTCTGTTTTAAACAGCAAGTACAGGCTGAAAAGTCTTGATGTCTCAGGAAGTAGAGACAGAAAACAAATTTGAATTGCTCTACTTCATTTTGTCCATTTGTAATATATAGTCCGGGAAATTTCTGACATTATATCTTTTCTGTTTAGCAGACTCAAGGTAGACTCAAAGGCAGAGAATCAAAATAGAGTGGATAAAATACTCAAAATAATAAATAATAATAAAACCATTTAAAAGAAATAATACAATAGACATGTGTACAAACTTATTTAGGCTGCTGTCAAATGTTTGAGTAAAGCAGGCAATCTTAAAACTGTTTCTGCAAAATCTAGATATATTATATTTTTCTAGGAATAAATCCACTTAAAATATTTAAAGTGGGGAATTTAGTTTTTTAGCTGTTTTTGTGAACACATTTGTATTATTTCATTTGAACATTGCCTTTTAACTGCTTATCAAAACCATATTATTATTTTTTTAATGATTCTTTGATGTCATAGGGGTGCTTTAGTTTATAACAGATGAGGCTTCACAAATCCTTACACTGACATTTTGTAAACAGTGAGTCAGGCCAGGATATTCATTCCACTTAGATTTGTAGTTGACAAAATATGATGCATGTGCCCAGATACATACAGACTTGGAAAGGGCAAGCAGTTTAAACGAGCCCCACAGTGCAGTTTTTATAGCCCATTTAATGCTTCTGCAGCTTTGCTTTGAATAGGGTTTATGCTATTGTATGCTTAGATTTTCGGTAAGCGTTTGATAAAGCTCATGGAAAAATTGCCTCTGACACTTTTTGTAGAGAGCAGTTCTGAGGCAAACCTTTTCTGAACTCATGCAGTCATAACTCCATAACGTTGGGATCCTTCTTTAACTGATTTGGCATTCTTCACTTTCACTAATAGGTCTGTGTGAGCTTTGGTATGAAGTGGTATCTCTCCTGCTTGGATATTTGTCTTAAGCATAACATTTAATTTTGATAAATGTAACCTATTTAATTGGCCCTGCTGAATGAGACACAAGAGTGACATGCAACTAGCAGGGTATGGTCAAAAACAGGCGGATGGCTGGACATTACAGATGCAGAACCTCAGATGGTAGCTGTCCATAGTGCTGACCTCCATTGGTTTATCTTACAGGGACAGCTGTGCGTGTAGCCCCACCAACCCAATTTCACTGGCACTTTCGTCCTATCCCAAAACCGGTGTGATTCTAGCCCATAGTGTCTGAGCGTGCTGATGCAAAGACAACGTTTTGTAACTGGAGTACACGGGGGAGTGTTGTAGTGTAAATGCTAAAGAACACAATGCTACAATGAATTGTTTTGTTCTTTCCAAAGCTGAAGTTGTGTTGCAACGCTGCTAGAATAGTGCAAACATGCAGATGACATACGATTCCTTCAAGTCAATGGATCTGATCACCACTAGAAACCAGAAGGAACCAAAATATTAACATATTTATACTGAGATGAGGAAGACCGTATCTTGTGCCTGAGATGCATGCTAAAAAGCGTGTCATCTTGAGTTTTCATGAATGTTTTTGATACTAGTGTGTACTAGTGCTTCTTTCAGATCAACATCTTTTTAAGATTTTTCTGCTTGGGTGTGTGTGTGTTTAATGTGAGGTCTATTCAAGGGCTGTTCCCTAGCAGAGCCATCAGGAGGTCTGTTCCTTTGTTTCCACCGCTTGGAAGCCTAGGCAGTATTGTGTTGCTTGCTTCTATTCCCCAGTATTATTGGCCAGGAAATAACTAAGCGTATACAGCAGTGTTGAGTGAGGTAGTCTTATAGTTACTCCACGCATGTGGTTTCTGACGGGTGCTCTGTGTGTTTGAAAAAGTGAGACCATAATCCTGCAGTTTTGGCATTAAAGCTCAGAGCATCAAGCTTGGCCGGTCCTGTGTGAGGCAACAAATCAGTATCACCTGTGTAAAATACCGAGCTTAAGAAACTGATGCTTTCAGAAGAAAGAAGCTCTTGTCTTATATTTTTCCCCTCTAGTTTAAATTCCTTTTATGGAGAACATTCAACTTGAACTTAATTATAACAAAAGTGCTTGCAGAAATCCTGCATGACACATCGACATGCTCACCAACATTCGAAAGGCATGGGAATGAGCATTTCATAATGGAAACACATCATTTCACTCAAGCTTCAGTAACTGTACTTCCAAGTGGCTGTGCTATGCAGACCTGGTAGAACAGACAGAAAAACAGCAATGTATAATACCAATATACTGTAAATGAAGTAATCTATTGCTATTGGATATAATTTAAATTTAATTTATTCATATAATTTAGATTGAGTAATTACAGTGGATAATCTGTACCCTAAAAAGATCTTTTTTCCCCCATAGAAAATCATCATTGCAAATATTTATTGAGATATAGAACATGATCAAGAGCTGAGAGGAAGAGCCTGCTTTAGCACTTGGTTATTTCCATATTCTTTCCACTAAAAATCACAAAGTAAGATTTAATTCTAAAAACAGTCATTACTAAGTTTGTTTGTCATAGTCTCTCTAATTGTAAAAAAAAAACAGTTCATAATTATTTGAAATTGTCTTCCTGTGCACCTATATTGTGTCTTATTAATGTGATATTTGTTCTCAATATAATGCTTTATTGCAGAGAGCAATAATGCATATCTACTGAGCAACAAAAGAAATAGCATCATACAGTAAGTATCAGGATAAATGCAATGAGCTGACATGCAAGGTTGTAACAAAGGTAAATCAACTAT